AGCAAGGGGGCCGCCATCCCTCCAGTTCATCGACAACTACCTACCACAGCTTCGAACGCGAAGCGGCAAGTCGGTCAATATAAAGCCTCGCATAACTGGAAATTACCGGAACTTTGCATTGGAGCAATTGATGAAATAGTAAAAAATTACAGAACCCGGTTTTTTTTTTGTTTTTTTTAAACATAGATACATATAGAGAAAGAGAGAGAGACTAAGGGATGCTCTAACAGCGGATCTGACACCTTCTCCCTGAACGTTGTTCCTCGCTCGCTGCACGCGATAGCGCGCCATGAAGGAGAAGGATTTGAGTTCCCAATGGAACGATGTGGAGAGTCGTCGCGAAACCACTGCCGCACACCGTGAGAGTTCGGGGAAAGTTCCGTTACCCCTCAACAGCAGCTGGCTTGGGCAGATGTAGGGTCAAATAGAGGCTAAGTTATAGAATCTAAGGTGAACTATCAACATTGTGCACAACTTTACTTGAACTCATAATAGAAAAACCTTCATTCAAGGTAGCACTCAATTTGAAAACAGCACTGATATTCTCTGGAAACTTCAAAACCTCAGTTCATAAGAAATTTATCATCGTCAATCGTCAAGAATAAAAACGTTTGCAGCAATGTTCAGAAGAGAGTACTAGCCTTGTAATCGATCTAATGGATAAATATATGTATACATAAAAAGGTGAAGATTTATCAAATCGGAGTCCAACGTGGTTGTCTAGTATGACGAACGCTGCCAGCTGCATTATCCAATTCAAGAAAGATTCCGTTCATACTTGGTCGCTCCGATGGCCTTGGGTGCAAGCATTTGCTGATAAGTGCATTGATTCGTGGCAGCAGCGAGGCATTAGGGTCTGAAATTGATTATGGAACCAGCCGACAGAAAAGTGTATTTGGAGAGACGGACAGACTTCAGATGATCAACAGCGCGAGGACGGACTAGGCAGTCGCGTGCGCACGCGCCGAGTCTAGCTACAGTGCATCACACTTAGTAAGCTCGCACTTAGCGCTACTGAAATTCTTCTTTTCGAAAAGCAGCATTTAGAGGCGTGCGTTACTATCGGTTTTTGAACACGGTTATAAATTACTCGTATGAACAATCGTTCAATCAGTGCTTCATCTATTAGAAGGCCTGTATTCTTCCAATCATTCACTCGTGGATCGTCTGATGAGATTGTGACTACTCAAGGAAAATTAATGCGGTAATCAGAAGTCAATACTTATAACCATACCACTATTGGAGAGACGGACGCGAATCCTTTTTACCACTATGACCTTCTTTAGTTAACATCTATCCAGCTTTATCAAGACCTTGATGTGATTTCGCAGACTAACCTTGTGTTGGTAATTCTGGAAGATGTCCAAGAACACGGCGTAAGACCAAGCCCATACTGTGCACCCCAGCTTCGGGAGTGAGCAACCGGGTCCACGATACTTCAGGAGCCATTTGGGAGAAATCCCCGCTATCGATGGGCTTCGTCTTTCTGGAAAATTCTTCCTAGCTGACGGCTATGAATTCAAAATGCTGTTCAATGAAATTTGATTTTCGAATTTGTGGCGATTCGAATTTCCTTTGAAGTTCCACGTTGAATGGAACTGTTTGAATTCATTACAGCAATCCTTATCATGAAATAAACCTTTTCTCTTCATCTTAGTGACCTCTTTCATTCGTCCTAAGTTACCCATACCTACATGGTTTTCTCACTTAATATCCGAGGCCGCAAAATCGATCCCCGCGGTCCGTACGCCCACGCCCGGTCTCGGAATCGATACCCATCTTTGACAAAGCTTGCATGCTATTGTTGAGTAGAAAGGATGCAGTGCAATGCACATCTTTCTGATTCTTTCAACGTAGAATTTCCTATTACAGAGCTTTAAACCTAGAAAGTCTTACTCCAAAGGTGTCAGATCTGCTCCTCCAGTAAAAACCAGTTGAATCCGACTATACGGGAGTGCACCCTGAAACATGAACCTTGAGGAGTCCTGGTTGGATATCCCTATTTCGGATACTGCAAACTAGCTTTCGGTAGTACTGGCAGGATATTCGAAATGAACAAAAACCACTTTAACGACCCCTGTTGGGTCAGTAGGCACCATTGTGGTCGGTGCCTTGGAACCATAGTATTTACTATGAATTTGGTCCTGACTTTTTGCCAACATTTCAAAGCAGAGTGATTTTTTTCTCGATAGGACGCTTCCTGTCTCTCCAAATTTTTGTATTTTGTTGGTTTTCTCATCGTAGCTATTGATAACCTTCCAATTTCCAGATCCAAGTAGTGATAGAGGAAAATAAAACTTTCCATAGTCGGGCAGCGGTAATGAAAGCAAAGTAACCATAAAAGTGAATTCAAGAAGTTATACGAAAAGCGAAACAAACCACATAATAGGCATAGAAATTGTCCAATTTCACTGCACCACAATATATATCGGCATTGTATAGGCCAGACATGACACTCGCCAAAGCTCTACACAGCTGAAAGTACTACCTCCATAAGCTACCAGGAAATACCCACGATTAGCCAAGATAACTGATAGATTGTTCATGTCCAATAGTTCCCGTTCAAAATGACAGAGCACCGAATTGCTACCTGTGATGATTTACCAACAATGGTTTGAATGCTTATTGATTGCCCACGTCTGTGAGTGAACATTCGACACTACGATCTGTTCCCTCAGCAATTTGGGTATGGTCCTATCAGGTATACGAGATGCGCCGATTTGCTCAGTCGCCAAGATCGTAGAAGGTATCGTTTTGAGCCAGGCCCACTGACACGTCCATCTTGTAAATGACCATAAGACCGCGCTTAATTGCTTATAAGTCACAAATGCTGCAAAGAGAGCAATTGACATAGAAGGGTAAAGCGTTGGCGCAAAGGAGGTCCGATCCCATGGAGCCGCAGCTGTCGCGATGCGCGACAAGCGGTTATTTCGCGCGGGAAACGAAAATCCTTTTTTCTTTCTATTGCTGTCCATTCTTCAGAAAGTTCAATCTTTGAATGGTTTTTCGTGTGTACACTAACCTTGATCCTTGTTCCCAGGTCCAACTTATCGTCGTACTCCTCAAGGAATCGAGAAAATTCACAACCGGGCTTGTTACTGAAAGCATCGATGAGAAGCGGTTGTCAAGACTATGTAAACCAACAACAACAAGAAACCAATACCAACGATGTGAAAAAAGAGTAAGCAGATAAGTAAGCGAATAAGGAATAATATTACAATTCTTCAACACGTGGTTCAGAACTGGCACATGGTCGGGAGGAAGGGGAAGCTCGGGCTGAAGGGTACCCACGCAGCTGGGGTACAGGTATGCGAAGGAATGGATCTGTCTGGGTATTATAGAGCGGTACTGAAAACAGATATGGATTGAGTAGAATGAATGAGTAGCGTGTTGTGATCTCTGAGGATTTAAGCACGGTCCCCTGACAGGGGTTAGCGCTCTGTTAGTAAGCGTAAGACGGTGCTAAGTGGGTTGGGGGGGGGAGGGGGCACGCGGCGGCGCGGCGCCTTTTCATGTCTGCGCCCTCTCAGGCGAGTTAGTAGACAAGGAAGAATAGGCGAGTCCATAATGGTGTTTAGGGACATTTCATAGTTCTTTTATGTTATAACTGCGTGTTTTTCACCTAATTTTAGGAAGGGAAGGGGCTCCGGGGTGGGTGAGCCAATTGGACGTTCAGCTTTTATCTCATCTCAGCTTTTTGCACGAGATAACCCACCCTGGATCCCCTCCCCTTCTTAAAAATAGGGTTTTATCAGCTCAGAAGAAGAGTATCCATAGTATGCAAGCATATAACATGTGCCAAGCGGTAATTTGTTTTGAATCACGAAGCACTTCAGTACATCCTCACCATCCCTTCCCAGACTCAGGCCTAGTACTACTATCTCGCCGGAGAGGGCGCAGACATGAAAAGGCGCCGCGCCGCCGCGTAGCCCCTCCCTTTTCTTTTTGGCGCAATCTTTTACCCCGTTTCGTTCACAGTCCCCTTTTGTAACAAGTTCCTCATTATGCCCAATTGCCAAGGTATAAGGGATCGCATAGGGACCAAACAGAATCGCCAGATACCACGACACGATCCACGACACTGATTGACTCGCCGGCCGGCCGGCTGGCGCGCCGGCGCACCGACGTAAAACGAATTAGTTTGTATGTAAGAAACCTACGTCTGTTGCACTTTATTTCACGGTTCTTACCTGCTCTGATCGTGAAATAAAATACAACAGAAAAGGATCTTTTACATGCAAACTAATTCGTTTTACATCAGTGCGCCGGCGGTCTATAAAAGCACCCATTGGATTTGCGCATTATGACGCGTACTGGACCTTGTGGATCGCGCTTCTTCAAACGCATACCCGATTATCAGGCATATTCTCTAACCGTATGGCTACTTACTCATATATGACGTATCCGTTATCTGCTCGTAGAATTCCATGTACGGTACGCATTGGCAGATGTAGTTCACGGGCAACAAAGCTCACTCTGAGCTCCTTAAAAGTAGAGAGCGCGTTTGCCGATCATGGTACTTTCGTCACAGATGTCATCGGGGCTTGCGAGACGTTTGGACTTACATCGTACATTTGCTCTCTCCACTCTGCTGGGCTCATTCTTCGGCTTCCTTTCAGCAGCACGTTTGTATAAGTGCCATTCATCAGCACTTGTGATTCGTAATACTGAAAGACCAAATGAACTTTTTTTCAAATACGCTAGAGGTATAAGAATTTCTACGGATAGGTTTCTGCTCATTTCTGATGGTGAAAGGCTGTTAGGGGTTCAACTTGAAAACTCCATTATGACTGCCGGAATATGGGCCAAGTACAAAACAATGATGCGCTTCTATGTGATATACCGTGTTTTCTGCTCAATATCGTGGAGCTAGTGAAGTACTTACTGTCCTTATAGAAGCCTGTAAAGTCAAAGCGTGTTTGAGTCAGTGCGAATCGCATCGAGACATGGATTCTACCAGACAATCGACTGTCGAGAAGTGAAAGGGTTGTTTGACAGGAGCATTGAGAGGTACACCCAGCACGGAGAGAGTTTCTAGTAGTCACTGGGTCACCTCCAAAATCGAAGGAAAGCTGCCGAGCAGTCACCTTGAAGCGGCTATCTTCATTGACGAGCTTTTTACTGATGATATGTTCAGCTTCGAAAATTCGGAATCGACCCAGAACGTCTTTCGTGATCATTCGTCGAGGATACACCGGACAGCCGAGCACACCGGAGAGCACATCAAGCTGTAACGAGTGTTTTCCACAACACAATCATGCCTTTAAGTCAAAATCAACCAGCTCTGACAGATCGACAAGTTGATGTATTGACAACACTGCTTTTGAATGGTTCAAAGTCTGGAAGTCTTTGGCGTTAATCAATCCCATCTTTAGGTACGCCCCGCATTTTGCATTCTGAGATGCGGCATTCTGAGAGCATATGTACAAGTGCTTTCATCCTCCCAGACGAGCCTGGTGCCGTTTAGCCGAACCGGGAGGATTGAGAGGCTGGTTGGCTTGAGCGGGAATAGGCCCGAATACGATCCTCGGACAATTCATGTGATAGTTCTCCACTCGCTACTACACCACCTCCACCTTTGATATAATTTGAACGGTTTAGGAAGGAAAAAGTCTCAATTACCGATGAATCGCGAATGTTGTAGATCAGTTCGCCAATTGTGGTTCCAGTAGCAAACAACATACTGCGAATTCGGAAACCATCCCTACAAAACGCTATAAGAAGGCTCAGAACATTGCAATCTTACTGAAAAAATTCTGCTTTAAGTAATATAAAACAGACAAAAGCATTTCCATTAGACAAAATGATGTCTGGAATGTTCTGCCTGTCTGTCTCAAGCGGTTAGAGCAATCAGTTCGGATTCGTTTGCTCTAGGCCACTTTACCAACGAATGGGTTCTTTCAGTACCAACTTACTCTGTATTTTCCAATGTCAAATGAAAAATTTTGTCTTTGTCGGATTGGATCGACAGCACATATGATGCAAAGGAGTTCGTTGAAATACAGAAATCTCCTGGAACACGAAAGGGCTACCGTTTCTTGCAGAATAGGCTTCGGCTGTTCACACTTGTTAACCTTTGAGAGACGCAAAACATCATATAACAAATAGATGCTAGAATTCTGTGGAGCGCTTGGGTAAGTTTCATCACATCTGATCATGCTCGATGACAATGCGTATCGGTTCAAGGCAACTATAATCCTTTTGCAACCATCCGATCAAAAAAGCGAGATGGGTCAGAAATTGAGCAAGCTCCCGATGTGATATCTTCTCCCCGAAAATCACGTCGCGTTCGCCGCACCCGCAGCCGCGTGCTATGAAGGTAAAGTTTGAGGTCGCATTGGAAGGACATGGTAGCAGCAGCAGAACCGCGGCTGCTTGCCGTGGGATTTCGGGAAGAAGTATCGCCATCCAGTTTGTAGAGATGTCATTAGGAACGCATGTTTGAAGACATGGACTTAATGACACTATGAATAATTCGTTTTGTGCAATAACTATAAGGGAGTCAGCGCGGTTATCTTCTGCATGGCCAGCCACCTTTCAAGATTGTGGTGCCGATTGATCGCTGGTCGACTCAGTTTCATTTTGTGGAGTAGATGGCGGTGGAGTGGCTGAAATAGGTAACAGATCCCTTTCACCAGCACCCTCCCCTCGCTTCCCTTTCCCCGCAGCACGCCCACTGCACAGCCACTATCATTCTCACCTGGCTTCTTGAGGATGAACGATATGAAGTCTTCAGGAATGTTTCCGAGACTAACTCTGTTGGTGTTCATCTGAAATATTCATTCTCAAACAAAACAGCTTGCACTTGCTAGTTGTCCTATACCCAGATAGCCCCGCCCACAGAACTGGTGCAAAGGGAGTCTGACGGTAGCACAGTTTCGCAAGCGCGTAAAAAAATGATCGCGCGGGCCGTCAACGTGTCAATACATGCCTGTAGTTATACCGAAAGGCAACCCTCACATGTGGAACAGGTATTAGCGTGTATGCACGACACACCAACTACTGCGCGAACGCAGCATTCCGCGTAAAGAGCGGCGGATTTCAGCGAACCTCGTCTCTCAGTACATAAAATTCTCTTAACTACGAAAAATTATTATGCAAAAATTAATAAAAATAATTCTGATTTGGATCATAGAGTTGCTTGTCCAAGCTTGGATGTGGAGGAGCGTCCTGGCTATAGTTCCACCACCCTTTTTTGGGCGACTGCGTGGCATTTATGTGAGACTTTCAGAGGAGGCACGAACTGTTAGGAGATCAGCATCCAGCTCTGCATCAGCGTTCCGTTCGGTTACTCGGCAATCCACAGCCGCCATCGTTCTCTAAAATAATATTCATATGTGTAGTGAAGTAGTAATAGATTGCTCATATGAAAAATATCATTTTCTCCTGTTACAAAGTTAAATAGTTAGAAAGGAGCTTCTTATAATAGACGCAGGCAACGTACCTTCTAGTCTAGTCGGAATAAGTGTCAAGAACTCCAGCCCAACTTATATCTTCTGTCGAACCTCCCTGTTTCACAGCTACACCTGTGAGGAATGAGGCTCACCTCAACCGGCGGCTTTTTTTGTACATAAACAATCTAAGCTCGGTTTTCCAGCGGTCTGTTAGAAAGTGATTGAGTATGATAAAGAACCGGGGAAAAAACACGAGGCGAGGGTACGACAGAATAGTTACCGGGAGAGTCAAGTATGTAGTCAGATGCAAAGCCGGATCACAGTCCTGATGAGTGAGCTCGAGGGGGGAAACCTACGAATAAGAATTCGCTTTGTGATGTTAAAAACTGCAAAAAACATGACAGATGCTCTATCCTATGACAGATGCTCTATCCTCTAAACTATTTCCCTGACTTGATGTTTTGTTATTTCCCTGACTCTTCAAAACATCGCGTCGTTTGGCGATCCTCATCCTCAGAGTGAATTTTTACTGTTTCCCATCTTTTTCATCCTCTTGGTATTCATTTTACATAGCACACGTGCACAGCACTTCCTTTTCTGGTCGCTGGGTATGCAATGTAGTCTGCTCAACAGGAATGTGGTAAGGCTAATTCCACATCTCCCAGAAAGCAACGGACCATGGGCGACTTCCTTTACAGATGAACCACTATTGTATTTACTTCACTTCTTCTTTACATTATTTTAACATTTTTAACCATCCGGACAAGTATGCACTGGCTGAATTATTCCTAGTCGAAATGCCTTACCCAAATCTTGATTCGGTATGAATTCATCACCGGACCGGCAACACCATTCCGGGTCATTCCTCTAGCATCAGGACCTCATTTGAGCTCCATGTAGGTTCTTTTTGTATCCTAACCTTCTCAATCTTTGTCGGTGAAGCTGTTAACAAACTTCCCGTGCCTTGAAAACCTTCTTTGTGCTGACCCATACTCTTCCTATACAAGAATTGTATACTTCTAGTGCAAGTTTTATTCAAAAAACATCCAGAACTCTAAGTACACTAACAAAGTAGTATGACCAAAAAAATTAAATACAAGAAAATAAAGATCTCTTAAGTGTTGCGGTTCATAGGAAACAACAATTCTTCAAGGGAACCTCTATAGAGGCATCACACACACTCTGTTACGATACTCATTGTGAAAGGCACTAAGAGGCGGGGATTGTATTCGTGCGGCAAAGAAGTAGGAAGAAGAAGAAATAAGACACTACAATACACCAGCAAACGCAACCGGAAACCGATATTGTTGAAAAGAATAAGAAAAAAAAAGAAAGAAAAGGCAACAAAAATGAATGACTCACATAAATATTTCAATATTCACTCTAATAATCATGGTAAAAGGCTCTCTATAAGGCCCCATTGGCCAAAAAGAATTTTCACATTTTCTATTTCAAGTCAGAAACAAAATCACCACAGACAAAAATCATCTACAATGAGACAGATGGTGTAGATCAATTGGGTCATGACAGACCAGGTCCCGTATCCAGTAAAAGTCATCCTATTACTAGTTACTGTAGCTGTTATAGTTTATGTATATTCGAGAATTCCTAGCGATTTGACTATGGCTGGTCAGTTTTTAGTGGATACGAGTCCGGTACAAATTTAATAGTATCAATAGGAATAATAATAACACAGAACACCAGAATCTTTTGTCTTTAGGTAATATTTCTCACAATTACTAAGAAAATAAGTATCATATGCAAAACTATATAGTAAAACACGATGAAAGAATTGTAGTGTGATGTTCACATAATAGTAAATATATTCTTACTCGGTGTTGGTGATTTGGGCACCCAACGCAGCTGATTCCATTAGCTGAAAAAGAACTGATTAAAGGTTATACTTATAGGACTTGTTCAACTAATTCCTTTTCTTTACATTTCCTAAGACAAAATTATAGCGATAAGCATGAGAAAATCACAGTTAATTGCATAACGTGTCCATTTAGCACGCAGACCCACCCACCCACAAGTCCCGCCCACTGGGCCATGACCGTTAATTAGACATCCCATAGAGCAACAAGCTCATGAGAGGACAAGGAGCATTCCACAGGGATTAACGTCCGCAGACTTCAATTTCCACTACTAAATAGTGATGAAAAAAATGAAACTCTTTTTTAAAAGTGGCTTAAAAAGCCTAAAGCGGGGCAGAGAGTTTCTGAATTACTGTGAACTAAGGGGAAACCCTTCACCATGAACGATCCTACAGGAAGTTCATGGATCAGAACTGGAATGCTGTTTGTAGAACTCTCGTCTGTACTGTATTGGGCCTACCATACGCAGTCCCGTTTTATTTTAAAAGCCTACAAAATTCTACGCAGAGGTTTAATGCATAAAAGTCTTGACAGAAGGCTCAGTTACTGAACCGATCATTTCCGGTTTATAACTGAAGCAAACCACTTTATTATGGTTAACCTCTGAATTCCTTCCTTCGAGCAACGCTAGTCAAGCATCCTGACGATGATTCTGAATCATGTCTATGAACTAGAAGGAGTTAGGGAAGTATCAGATGGCGCTGCTCTCACAATTACGGTTGGTATCGAGCCTCGATCCTATATACGTCTGGCACGCAACCGTCCCCTGGATTCAACGGACGCTCTGATAGGTCTTTGTCAAAACCTTCATCCTCAATCCAGTTAGTCATCAAACTGGCTTCGTTCTTTCCATAGAAAGAGATGTTGTGAAGGAATGAATCGGAATTAGCATAAAGGCCCTTCACCTGAGGATTAATTCGAATAAAAGACCGTAAGCAAAGATCTCGGTGTACACCGTACACTAAACTTTCACGTAATATCGCAGTGACACTTCGAAGGCATATTTCGTTTGCATGATGAGTTATGAATCCTAGTCAGAATAAGTCATAACTTGTATCCTCCCAGTTTAAAATACCACCAGCCAGCTGACTCGACCTTCTCTACGGGAACGGGACCGCTCTCCACTATCCCTCCTTCGCCAATCACTTACAACTGAATCAGTATTTCAGAGGTCAGAAAATAATTAAAAGGTGAAAAAAGATTGAGAAAATGAACTTCCGCTCTGAATGAATGACTACGCTAATCGGTAGGTCAAAACCGCCCATGATCTATTGACGGTTTTTCAAAACGTCTCATTCCGCGCCTTTTCGCAGCTGATGCAACTCGATTTTCTAGTTCTATTTTTTACTTGACTACTTTTACTATACTGTTACTGTTCTGCACAGCATCTCTCCATTTCTCATCTCCTTTTAAGTAAGTTACTCGAACTTCAAACTGTTGTTTTTGGAAAGATCTGCTTGGAGTATTTTTAAAATTTTTAGAAACTTTTTAGATTAATTTATTTTAGTGGATGCGCTTCTTTATGAATGGAAAGCTCTACCAGTTAGAAGTTTTCGAAAAGAAAAGCACAAACCTGCTGGAAATTGAACTGAAATGGAAATGACAACAGCGGATTTTGCGATCCAGGTTCGTCACCTTTTGCCGAATTGCCGATTAGCAAACTATTCGCATTAGCTCCTCCTGAAAAACAGAAATTTACCTTTTTTGCAACTCTCCAGAATTTATGTTTTAAGTGATCGTCTTTGTGTAAAATTCTTTTCTATCCGAAGTACTTTTGACTAATCTAGAATGACCCTAGAAAAATTTCATCTTTCGGGTACTCATCACTCCTAATCAGAGGAGAAGATTACTTTCATGTGATCACCCGGTAGCGTTTCGTTGCGCATGTCCGTCGAAACCAGGTCACGTCGCAGCTGTCGCATGCGGCGGGTCATCTTGCGATCTTTGACAAACGTCGCAGTTGTCAGCGGGGCATGAGAACTGCGCTCGGTCTACGGCAGTCAGCCAAAGAGAAGACAACATGGACAAAGGCAAATCATTCGCTCCACTGACACTTGGTGGTACAGTAATATCATCGTGAGACCTCAGTGGGGTGCGCCGCGAAGTGGGCGCGGTGACCTACTTTCGACGGACGCGCACAACGGACGTTCTCCAGATTCTTGCAGCTACTCCAAGGTGAAATTTAATGCAGTGGATGCCAAATTTCACGGGGGGCATACTTCGTCCTACGACATCACTTCAATCCCGTACAGAATTCTCACTTCTAAGCAATACCATGCTCTTCGAACTTTTTTTTTAATTCAGCTCTTCTTCACACATTTGCAATAGAAATGTAAGAATCGGTAAGCCTAGTAGTAGTAGGTGAGCAGTATAGTGAATCGCTTATAGTGCCAAGAGCTTAATCATCCATATGGTATAGGGCTCACTCTACTGGACTGATTCCTTGGTTGGCTCGGGTATTACAAGGTCTTCAAAAGTGAAAAGGTATGAAGACGTTAAACAAGAGTGAGTGATTGACCAGGTGCTTCCCCCTCATTACTGGTTCGAGGGTCAAGGGCACTGATATGGAGTGCAGTATGCTCTCTTTCAAAGCCATCGTCTCCAAATTGGAAACCTTTCTGCAGTATTTTCGTCCTTGATATCAAGCCGCGAGAAGATTTTCTTTCGTCTTTCTGAAAACTCACCTTCGGAAGCGCTTGACGAATTTGTATACACACAACCTTGTGGCAGTTGAAATATCGTGCCATTAGTGGAGGTATTTGTAGTAAGACCTAGAGTGGAAAGGGATGATAGGAGTAGAAGTGGAGCATGTTAGATAGCATTATTGATCTCGAATGGGTTTCGGTCAGGGAAAGAAGGGAAGTTGTACTGAAGTTTAAAACAGTTGACTCCGATCGCTTATTATACTTCGTACCCAGCTAGCTGTAGCTTTGTGGGTGAACTACAAGTTGGGAGTAGATTTATCGGGAAGTTCCTTGTTTGAATGGGTCAGTAAATAGTCTACAAGGTTAGGAGTTACGGATAAAACGAAAACGGGAATAGAATGAACCAAAGCAAAAGTTCTGTACTTCGAAAGACCTGGTTTTTGATAAAATAGGTCACCGATGTATTCAGCTCTGCTCTACCCTGAACCTCATTTAAACTTGTTTCCCTGACTCTATCCAAGGTACGGTGTGCAAGGTGCAAATGTCCACAGCAGAATGAAATTGTGCAAAGTACTGAGCTCATTTTTAAAATTTTGGTAAAAGACTTTTCCGCTTTGTTTTTATTTGATTTTTGTTTACAAGAGAGTCATTCCGAAACCACCCAACAATATCGTACACATACAACCTTGCAGTTACAGAAAAAAAGGGAGGAAGAGGTTTAGTAGAGGTTAGGAGAGGTTACAGAAGTTTTCAATCAGATTGGCCCGTTACGATATGTTCATCACTTTCGGGGATCACATTCAACTTGGGGTCCAGTCTGAGTGGTTCGTATTTGTTGAAAATTCTACCTTGATAAGAAAGTGGCATCATACCTGAGAGGAGAAATGGTGCCAAGAAGGCGTTCGCATTAGCCGTGGCTGCCTGAGACGTTGGCGGTGGTGGCTGTGGTGGACTGGCTTGTCGTCGTTTCTGTTGCATCAGACGTGTGTTACCTGCCGCTTTCAGAGCCTCTTTTAAGGTTTGCTGAAGGCTGGCAGCTAATTCGGCTTGCTCTGCAACATCTATAACTAACTATCAGAAGGAAAATTTGAGGAAAAAAAGAGAAAGAATTTTGAAATTGGGCAATCCAGTTCTTGGGTTGTACTCACGCAACTTAAGAATCGTAGAGCCAACCCATGTTCGGTCTATACTATAACTGGTGCAAGCCAATGTAAAAGTCAATGAATCTATTTTAACAGACGAATATGGTATAACTGAGCGCCTCTAAGGAGGTTAAAGGCTTGTGTGCCCTGGACGGGGGTCGAGATTTGTTCTCCTAACCATGCACCCCATTACTCACCACCCTAACAAGGGTACAACACAGGTGAAGATTTCCCCACACATTTTTCTAAAAGAGGTTTCCAGTGCAGCGCATTTGTGACTCTTTGCTGTTTAATGCAGCTAGTTTAGAGCCTCGTCATCGCTCATGATAGCACTCCAAGGAACTCGTCCAAAGAATTCCTTGTGCTTCGTTAGGACTAGCTTTTTACAAATCTGGACCACTTGTTGGCAAGAACGGGAAGGAGGAAGTGCAGCGACTGGAGACGGTGTGACGTTCTACGATGATGGATGGAAACCACTCACCCCAACCGAACTTTCTAGCTCCTTCAGGGCCACTCAGCGCCAGACTAGTCTGCTGAAATAAAACCCTTAGCGTGGACAAGTCACTGAAGAGCCAAATGGAGGAAGTTGAAGTTTTTTAGTATTTTCCAATCCCCCACCCCCTCCCCCTATGGGAGGCCCTTCAACCGCGTTCGACTTGCTTTCAGAATCAACCAATGCTCGTTCGCCGTTGAATATATCGTTCTCTATAGATGTACCCTATTCGCTGAACGCATGGCTATCAGAGGCTGTTGGGAATGCAAACAGGATTGCTTCGATCTCGCCAGATGTGATTTCTCCCACTTTTGTCTCCCGCATTCCTTGAAGGTTCTCTGAAGGCTCTATTAGACCCCGAGCATCGATGAGGACTCGCTTGGAGTGTGTGATAGTGAGTCCCCGAAAATAGGCAAACATAGAGAGAGATTGAAAACCGGCTCCTTCCGTAGCTTCAAACGAAAAAAGGTGCTGCTCTGCTCTTGAGGAAGTCGGACGTTTAGCTCAGTGAAGGGCTTTTTTACATACATTGTTGATCTTTTTTGAACCCACAGCAAGATTTCATGAAGGCTCTAAGCTACGAATGACTTGAGCCATGGATCACATGAGTAGTCTCTTGATTTGTGGGAATTCTGCATTCGCATTAATCACACACCGTAAATGCTCAAAATTAGGTCATGAAAAGTTCAATTACTCATGACAAAAACCAGCGGATGAAGTTATGACTTTGCAATCTGAATAAGGACAAGAGCGCAGATCTTCTACTTCATCTACCATACCTCGCTTTACCTTTGCCACCTGTTACTTTCGATAAATCTCCACTCTTCGAATGCAAAATGAACTGCTTACCATCCTTCTTCTCCTCTACAGCTGGTGGTTCCTCTTTCGCCTCGCTCTGTTCCTCACTATCCGAGTCATCTCCGCTGTCGTCCTGGTTGTAGTCATCTTCGCCGAACGAACTGAACAACGCCGTCGGAACCATCGTTGGCAATAAGGAGACGAACTGCTGGAACAACTGTAACTAATTACTCAGTATTTGAGAAGTTCGGCTTACTTCTCATATAAGTCACTGTTAGCTTTCCAGTTTTCCTATTTCGACTCAAAAGCAGCCAGGGTTATACCAGCGTCCTCAAGGAGCTATCTCCTACTTCTTTTTTTATGCGTATCTATCGGGACAAGACGGAACACTGCCCGTTTCTGAGATGTCTCTCATTTTCAACGACACCACCGTTGGCAGTCAATATTTAGCCAGTTCGGGCGGACGGAAGCTGGAGAAAAGCAGTCTGTAGTGTTTGCGAAATGAAAAAGGCTTCAAGCTCTTTTTGGGTAAACACCCACCTTCCCCCTTCGATGTTCACGTGGTTCTGCACGCTTTGTTTGCGCTACTGGGCGGCAGCAACGACGGATTTGAGTACGTTAATGTTGCGTTACGTAAAACTCTCATCTACGACCGGGTTCAAAAAGAAAATAAACGAATAAAAAGCAGTAAAAAGAGATGGCGAGGAAAAAATCGTCAAGTACAGGTGGGGACTGTTCATGAAGGGAGCGGAAGTCCGTCCAATGAAAGGCACAACATATCAGGAACATACCAATATCCATCGTTTCCGATACGCCCTGCAATAGGACGCTATTTGGAAACAAAGGGGTATTTTTAAGGGTTGTGAACTTTTTAGAGGCATCTTTTGCTAATGACTACGGTTCCCGTTGGAAGATCTGAAAGAGCTGAACCAAATTAGACGTCTATGAGGCGTGGATTGAGTTTTCTCGGCCATGAGAGCAACTCCTTTAGCCTTTCCTGCGTATTTTCTCTATTGAATTCAATAAGCATTCAAAAATACCAGGCTCAATCTAACTATTGAGTGGACAGTACCAGCGTAATCTCTCATGCATTTTTACTTTTACGTCTAGTAGTCCTGGATCAGCTGATCTGGAATTCCCAGTTGATTTGCTTCCTATATTAAACTGAGGGCCAGAACTGGGAAGGGGGAGGCTTGAAAGGAAAGGCGAAGAGAGGGAAGAAGGTGAACAAAAGAGTGATCAGCATTACTTAAACTGGTTGTTGAGTAGGATTGGTTCCAATCCCAAAAGTTCAAGATTACCGAAAGAAAAGGCAGCTCACTTATTGATGCTAAAATGTAGAGCCGAATCGGGTCTAGCAATTCTAGATATGTCTTCTCCTAGCTGTCTATATGTTTAACGACGGCAGAAGCATGGCGCGACCTTTGGATTGCCGATGCTTTTTACTTTTGCTCACCAACTCACTTGTCTGGGAACGATAGCACGCCCTTATTGTGAACTTTTAAAATGGGATAAATATAGCATGAGCCTCCTTGATTTCGTTCATACGGTCACAGCTGTTCATAGATGCTTTGATTGTAAAGTCCTTCGGAGAGCTGTACTTCTCAATATTGACTCAAGGGGATAGGTATCGATTCTCCGAACTAGTACCGATAAAGACAGGCGCCGATGATGGAACTCCGGTCATTAGGGGAACAGCTGGTCGATTGGAGTTAGATTTTGTCGATTGAAGAGAGCTTCGCGATCAGTACAAATAAGCTTCAACACGGGCAAGCTCATGATTTTATGAGGTAGTGTATTCCCTCCCTAGACGTTATGATCAATCATCAATGAACCCATTTGTCAGGGAAGAATCGTTCTTGCACTTGCAGAGACCCCTTACACTGATAAAATAAATAAGTTCACTGGGATTCTTCTCAAATTGTTTGTGGTCCGATATTTTTATGGCAAACGAATCGACTTTTGCAATAGTTCCAACCTACGCCGATTCCACTTTACTTTACTGGAACTTTTGTAATTAGTTCATCTCACAAGCGGCTGTCAAAACAACCGTTCTGTGGGGCGATCCTTCTGACTGTTCTCCAATTTCTGAACAGGGAGTCAGCACCGTTTCAAAAGGGTTCCAGAGAAGCTACGAGAGGGTTTCGCTATAAGGTGAGTATAGGTACTGCTTGAGCAAGCTGTCCTCACCCAGTCTATGAACACCTCTTCCCCTGATCTCGGCAACGGTACCAGGGGGGGGGGGGGGGGGGGGGG